GTTTTTCACTTAACTGATCTGTATCCTGCAATCCTACCCGCAGGAGAAATGACACATCTGAAAAAAGCAGGAGGATTTGTTTAAAGTGGTCTGGTTGGGTTTTTTGGTGTATATATATATAGAATTGCCTGGAAGTAGTAAATAGAATTAAACACTGTAGTTCTGAAAAACAAAATTCTCAGGGCTGTCTGTTGATTTCAAAGCTGATGAAAACAAAGCAGGCTTTGAAATCTTTCCTCACAGAGCTTCCCCCCCTCCCTTATCATCTAAAAGATGGGCTTGATAATATTTGGGTTTTATTCTTCTTTTGAAACAGTTGAGAAATGCTGTTTTCTCAACTAAGATGAAAATCCCGATGTTTTTAATAAGGTCAGTGTAATGTCTTCATTAGCAAGATGCTGAAATAACTCGATGCAGATCTGGAACTTCCACCGGGAAAAACTTCAGTGTCTACCCAAAAAAGTCTAGAGCCACTTTATACTAGGTGTGAACCAGTACTGCTTCCCTAAAATTACTGGTTCTGGGATAACCTATTTCAGTTTAGGGACTGGCCACTGTGTTTTTAAATAACTCTCGTATGTGCAGCCAAACTCAAGTGGCTTTTCTTAGTTTTTCCCTGGCAAGCTGCTGGAGACGGGGCAGCGCCCGGTCTCGGGTACCTGCAAATCCCGCGGACGGGCAGCGTTGGGTGTTGTGTTTTGTGGTTTCATTTCATGTGATTCAGCAGTTGGTAACAAAAAGAAGGACTGGTGACCTGGGAAGATGTGTAGAGCTCACCGCTAGGAAATGCAGGTGGATATTAAGGGATGGACAGCCTAAAAAAAAACACTATAAAAAATATCCAAGCCACTAAGTCTGCACTCTCTTAAAATTTTGCCTACGAGTGTCACAACAAAGCTGCTGGGTGCTGTGCATTTGAAAGCCTGTCCTCCGTTAGGAACGCCAGGGACATGTAGAAAGTCTTCTCCCAGCTCTTCGGAGATGTGGCCGGCCTCTGGCCAACTCTCCCTGACCCCCACGACTGGTCTGAAACCACAGCCCCCGAAGACGTCGCTTCCTTCCTCCGTGCCGTATCTCCTCTGAGAAGGGTTGGCAAAGCTCATCTCCCAGCGTGTTTCTGTAGCTTGCTGTAGACACTGGGGGTAACGCCAAAGGCAGAGATGCATCAACAAGACCAATTGTTTGCAATGACATATTCTGCATTTTAAATGATCTTTGATCTCCTGGCAGCTCCCCAGTGCATCGCCCGTCCGTAACGCTGTCTAAATAACGTTTGTCAGGTGAAGCCACGTCTGGCTAACAGGCAGGCCAGTCCGCAGCGCACTGTTAGTCATTGGTGATTTCCGAAACCCACCGGCCGATCAATCTCAAATGATAGATGGAACATAATATAGGTCATTATTTCTTCCCTATGCATGAAAATGAATTATTCAGTAAAGATTTAGACCCTTTTTATTATGACACTGAATTTATAGAGCATACAAAACATAAATGCAGATTTCTCCTGCACCAGATAGATGAACTCATTCTCCAGGCATCGTGAGTTAGATGCAGCCACTCAGCATCACCACATGGTATAGACAAGATGTCCAAACGGCTAGGGCACACAACTGCGACGTGGGCGATTAGGACCTACACCTAGCTTGGCTGCCAGCTTCTGTACTTGCCACAGTATTCTCAAAAGCTCCTAGCTGGTTTAGGAGCCCAGGATTGGAAATCAGGCTCTCGGTACCCATGCATCTTCAATGAGATTTGGAGTCTCATGTTACCTAGGCCTTATCAATGTTAATCTTAACAAACTCAGCATCTCAGTCTCTGATCTGTGAAACAGAGTTGCTGTATATCAGAAGGAAATCAGTAAGGCTTAAAATGAGAATGAGAAGTAGGAGCTATATGAGTACACGGACAGATGTGGTCTTCCTGAATTCTGTCTACAGAGCTACCGTCTAGAATTTGGGTTGGTTTGTATCAATAGCAGTAACTTTCCTTGCCATTGGAATAAATGCTCCAATTTTTAATTGTGCAGCTAGGGAGAATGTTACCACTGACCAGCAGTTACAGATGTCAGCTTCGCAGTTCATTAGCTACTTCCAAAAGTCCGCTGGGAGTTCAGATTTTTAGTATGAACATTAAAGCTCAGAGAGGAGGAGAGCAAAGGCCAAGCCTGCAAATTCTCCCTGGTTTGGAGAAAAGGCTGGGGACTGGGCCTGGAACAGCACCTTTGGAAACGGGTGCTGTCTGCTGCCTGCTACAAGGAGCAGGGCAGCAGGTCCTGGTTTGTCACCCATGGGCTTCAGGCGCTGCCTGCACCCCCAGAGCATCCCTGGTGAGGTGGTCACGGCTTTTGTTCACAGGAACAGGGGGCAGTGAAGCGGTCAGTCCCTTTTGTAGGGCTATGCTGACTGCAGAGGGTTTGGGGACAGAAACACAGCAGTGCTGACCCCTCTTCTGAGCCTTTCCTCTCTCGCTGCGTCAGCATCCAGGGCAGCAAAGTGGGGTACCTGGGTCCTCTGTACTCGGACCAGGCAGCAGGAAAACTCGTTCCCTCTGGACATAGCCCAAACATTTACTAATTTCACTAGCTCCCTGGGCCAAATTCTGCCCTAGGTAATGTTAGAATAATTTGCTTCTCAGAAAGCTGGGGTGTAATTACCTGTCATGTGTGCGTGTTGACCGGGACGTAAGAGGAGGTGGCAGGCAGGGTAAATGGGCTCACTGGTTTTTGGTGACATTACGGAGGATCGCAGGCAGCTGGACTGGGCGTGCTCTGCAGGTGCAACTGGGCAGCGGTTTGCACTGGGCTGTTTTCTAATGCTGCAGCGTCTACCGCTTGCCTTGGGCACACCGTGTCCTCGGGGAGCGGGCTCTGCTCTGGGGGCAGCGGAACCGCTTTCTGGGCGTGCGGAGAGGTGCGAGGGGAGCCTCAAAGAGAGGGGAAAGCCCTGCACCCGCTTTCTGGGCTGTGCTGTCCTGGGCTCTCTCAAAATCAGTCATTAGTGGGCTTTTCCTCCTGCAAGCGCCATCAAATGGCCATTGCCAAAATGCCCGGAGTAAGGACCCGGAGGGGCTCCAGCTTAATGTACATACATTAACTGCTCAGGTTTGTAAACCTCACCGAGGGCAAAAACAAACACAGTAATGGAAGGCTGGCTGAAAATGAGCTGAATTTGTAAATCTCAGCAGCGTCTGCAGGAGAAATAGCAAAAATGACTGAATAGATTGAAAGTGGTCACCTGCCTGAACCCGGCCACAGCTCTGGGAAAGGCGGAAAAGAGAAAGTACTGATAAAGTCTTTCAAAAGCCATTTGACCTGTAATTTTCACTGATGTAAGGGATAACAGTGGAGATTTCATTTTAATATATAGAAATCCTTTTTTTTTTTTTTCCCCTGAGCTGTAATCAGCTCCACTGAAGTTCCCTCTGTCCATCAACAAAATCTGTCTTGTGCTTGTTCTTTCTGGAACCCCTTTAAAATTCTGCACCACGGTCAGAGAGATTAAAGGGGTAATATAACCCCAGGAACCACACTCTTGACGAGTAATTTCCCGGTGATTATTACAAGAAATAGCTAAGATGTAAAGCAGGCTCAGAGATGGGAGAAAAAGTCCGTTCTTTAATCCCCCCCCATCCGTTTACTTTGCACACTGGTGCCATCAGCCCCTTTCCCAGCCGGAGCAGCCGGGATCTTCCCTGCCTGCTGGTGCAGCCCCTCTGAGGAGGAGCACAGAGACCCGCGCGGGCGCTTGCCGTGCTGCTGACACCGAA